TCCCTTGCTTTCCAGGAGGATCCTTAAACAGCATCAAACACGCCCGCGAGATCTGAGAGATCTCCCATCGTGGCGGTACCGCCAGGTACCGTCAATTGTTCTTCAAGAAAGGCAGTTTTGTCCTACACCGTCTTCGCGGAGCCCACTTCCCAAAGTGTCTACATCTCAGAGCAGAGAGGCCATCACTGGCCATTCCAAACTGAAGACATTTGGGGGTTTCCATAGTCATGGGGGTAGCCATGGGTATCCCAATAGCTGGATGGTTTATGGAACATGCCCATCTAAAACAGGGATGATTTGGGGGTACCATACTATGACTTCGGAAACCATTGTTTTTCACCTTTCCAGTGATTAGGCCGAGAGCACCACGCAACTTGGCTCCAAGCTGTGTGCCGTGGGTGTGATCTTGATGCGAACAACTGGGCCCAGCCATTGATATCCATGTGCTTCGAACATTCTAAAGTTTAGACCCTTCAAACACACGCAGCTCCATCATTTTTCTCAACTTTGCTCACTGTATTCATTGTAATGCGGTAAACCCAATGCCATAAATCATCCCCAAAATCATAAATTTTATGGGTGGAATTTCTATCATTTCCAGTCATGGTAGGTTTGGAGGCAGCCTCCGATTCACTGCCGAGGCAACCCATCAGTAGTGACACTATTGGGCTGATGGCCGCTTGGCTCAACTTGTTTTTGTCCAAAAGATGGCCCGAAATTCCCAGTTTGAAAAATCGCGATTGAAACCAGGAATATCATCTATATTTGTGGATTTTTTAGCAAGCCATGTTTGATTTCCAGATGTCAATCCTCGATATTGTTGCAAACTAAGGCATGGGGATGCGCAATCCCCTTTTCCATATCTGCAATATCTTTACTCTTGTTGTAGATCCAGCGCTCGTGCTGATCCATTTGGCGCAACGAGAGAAACTGACAGGTTTTTGACTCCGCGGAGTGAGTATTGAAGTGCGAGAGCAAGACAAAAATCCCAGTCCCATATACGCATGCGTGGAGTATTTCATATGCATTTGCACATGTAAATTGCATATAGGCATGTAAATTCCATACACACATGTACGTATGTACATACACCAGAGAGAGAGAGAGAGAGAGAGACATATGTTTTGGCTCCTACATTTCCCTCCGATTCGCGTAAAGGTAAAGAGCTTGGACTGTAGGGGCTGGAGTGCTTGACAACACAGAGTGGACCTTCGATCAAATGTTTCAGTTTAAGACAGACAAAATTGCCATCTTTGCTCAGCCATCTATCTCACCACAAGTGATGTTGGTTCCTCGTTCGTGCCAAGTTCTGCCTAGTTCTGTCTAGATATGCCTAGTTAGCTCGAAGCTTTGAGAAGCTCCACATGGAAACTCTGCGGCAGCATAGTACTGCAGTGGAGTCTGCAGTTGGCGTTGCCACGGCTGCAAACCGCTGCAATGGTGTGCACAGAAGGCAGTGCTTTTCACGGCGCGACCTCGAACATGTGCCCAGGGAGGCCTAGACAGGTCCAGCATCTTTCACTTGTATGCTCCACACAGACCGATCACACCTTCATTTCACTCTCTCAACAAAATTCTTAAACTGTTTCATGCTGGCACTGGGTCTCTTGCTCATTCCACTGCTTCTGCAAATCTAACGCATGAGAGTTCATGAGTTCCCAAGGTTCATGAGAACTCTCTTATTACCCTGGATACCCTTGTGTGTCCTGTTCGCACAACGCGGTTTGTGACGCTGCAATGTCTTTTTCATTGTGTTTTGGAAGCTTATCCATGACGGACCGTAATCTTCGAATGTCTTGAAAGGAACGAATTGAACCAAGATCTTCAGCAGTGTTTTTCACACATTCCGAGCCTCTTGAGACCTGCTTGCATAGCCCAATTTCCCTGTCCCAAGCTAAGCTTGGATAGAGACTTTGGGGCTGGTGCAGCAGGATCCGTCTCGCCATGCACAGCGAGCTTTGACGAAGTCATAATCTCCATCTCTCAGCAACCGCATTGGCCCTATTCCTTGGAGTAGCATGATCGACCATACAAAGTAGTACAAGGCCATGGCTAGGCAGACATCCACTCTCTGTCAGGTCCATTTTACTGGAACGACAGACTTCAGATAGTGAAAAAGCATGAAAAATCTATTAAGAACTGAACATTGCAACGATGGGGCATGAAGCTGCTGAACTTAGCCCAACCGCTTGTTGATGTTGGCCGGATACTTGTTTTGATGCAGCTGCAGTCGTCTATGTCATGCTTGGGCCGAGATGAGGTGATCCGTGGGTGATGTGCGATGATGTGCAATGTAAAAAAGGTTGCTCATTGCTTCGTCCTGCATTTTTGACCAAGGGCACACACAAAAACTACAGCATTCCGCAGCTTGAGTATGGTGAGGGGAAAGTTTGACTTGCATGACTTGCCAGCAAAATTCCAATGACATTCTGCAGAGAGTATGGTTCAAATATTGGAAAAATCGTCCCTTGTTCTCCATTGCGGCTGATAGCGTGCGGAGGTGCCATCCCAAGTTGCCTGTCATTGGGTCGTGATTTTAAGACTTATTGTTGGTTTCAAAGATGGGGATTCGTCAAGACCTCTAATACCATGGTTTTCCAGGATGGGTATCCATTTACCAACTATTTTGATGTCAAGATGTGAAGATAAGCGTACCAGGGTTTTGATCCATAACCAGATCTCTTCAGAGTTTTATCAAAAAAACTAAATGATTTTCATTCTGAGATTCAATTCTTCCATGGTTTGATCATGTTCCCGTAGGTTTCCCCTCTAAGAATGGCATAGATTTGGCATTGACCGGTCCTCACGGCGGAGTCCACGAGGTGAGCTGGCCATCGATGCTCTGGGCATCATGGCTCGGCCTTCTCGTGGCTTCTTGGATGGAGAGATGGCTATTTTCTATGGGAAAATGATGGGAAAGGTATGGGAAGTCATGATGAAAACCAACTTTGGAGGCTGGTAGCGTATGTGGAAATGCTTCAGCTGTTATTTTTGGTTTGCCTTAGGCAAGCACACAGCTGAAGGAGTCTTGGCCAGCACTTGGTCCTTAGGTAGTTGTTGCTACGCCGGCTATGCCTTTGTCGTGGAACTTGTGTTCGAAGCTGCATTCTTAAGAGCGAATTTGTTCCACTTCAAACACATTAGACAATTTAGACATGGGGCTGTCAAAAAATGGGCGGAATATCCCCAAATGGATCCAAAAAGCCCGTTTCATAGTGGAAAAATCCATGGATAATCTTCCGGAATTGGAGAGTCGTCCAAGAATTTTCGACCCAAGGAGGCGCTTGGACAGGATGTGCCAGTGCTCCCGGCGCTTGGCATTCGTCTTGCAGATGAAGATCTGCAGAAGGCTGGTCAGTTTTTCTCATGAACATGGTTCTTTTTTTGGGGTATATCGGTATATACCGCAGACCCCATTTTTTTGACAAACCCACACATGGCAGCTTTGAAGCGCGTGGGCGAGTGTTGTCTTCAACAGATTGTGGACTTGGCGCAAGGTGTCATTGCTGGACCAATGTACATCCGCTCACCGACAGACTTCTCCGGCAGTCCGACAATATCTTATTTCAGTGCATCTTGTCAACCGCAAGTTCAACTTCAAACGATGTGTACAATATTTGGTTCTAGGCGTAGAACTTGAAGATGCAACGAGGAGGCTTTTGACGAAGAGCATTGATTTGTCCATCTTTTTATGCAATTTGACTTTGATGATTTTAATTTATATTGTTCGAGCTTCAATATCTTTCAATTTGCCTTGCAGCTTGAGGTCTATTGGGGTTCCGATGCGAGCACCAAGCTGGTCTCACAAGCACTCGTTGCTGGGCTTTGGACAATAAATCCATGGCGATGATCATGGCGGGTCCATGGTTTGAAAAGGGCTGTAGAGTCTTTTAGGGTAAGGTTGAAAAGGGTTCACGCATCGTCAGTTGAATTTTCATATAGTTTTCTTGAACACTTCAGGTCTCCGTGAATGTCGTCTCAGACACTCCACTTTGCAGCGGAACAGCTTGCTCATCGACCCTTGTCCCAATCCAGACAGCGCGTTGAGTATGGAAAAGTAATGAAAAGGATAGTTTCCACCTTTCCCTGTTGTTCTCTTGCAATTCTCAATTTCCGATCCGATTCGCATGCCGAGGATCACCTTCACGCCGGATTCGACAACGCCTACAACGTTCATCATTTCCCGCGGGGAGAACGGATACAGCAACCAGGAAAGAGCGGAGATTCTCCTGGTCCGCCCGCCGCTCAGGGGACAAAGCGGCAGTTTTTGTTTGAGAAGAGGGTGCTGGAAAGATGAAGAGCTGTGATAGCCAGAAGTGTTGAGTTGGGTTCACCTGGTTTACCTTACGTAGGCCTTACTTGAAAATGCACTTTGATTGACAAAAAAGCAAGACAGGTAATTTGAACAGCTCAGGCGGTGGTACAGTGACGCTGCCACCTGTCTGAACTTGCAACTCATGCACCTGATATGGTGAACATGGATATGGGTTTGTCTGAAAATAGGGTTAATCTTCCCAATGAAATAGCCATTTAAAAACGGGATAATGATCAGCAAAACCATTGGGTAAATGGGGTACACAACATTTTCAGACACAGCCAATATGAGTAAAAGATCAGATACTCCTCCAGTATCCTCCAGGTGCTGATTGCGAGCAGGGTCTGTGCTCTGCTGATGCTATGCTCAGGACTTTCTTTGATACAGAATCTTACTATGACACCCTGACAATTGGCGGCCAAGTGTTCTCAGGGTCTCTTTATTGCATTTGGAACGATTTGGTCTGGGAGTTTTTGCTGGACTGAGTTCTTTGTTCCCACATGCAGCCACATCCCTATGGCCTAGGGCTGGATTTGCAGCCAAGGAGCTCTGCGGCTGGAGAAATCATTGAAGTCTCTGCAGGGTTCCTTGGTCTTGGAGTCCATTGGTCCGCCAAAGTTGTGAAGTTCGGCGACGTTCTGTGAAGTTCCTGCCCTGGAGACACTAAGGAGCATGATTATATGGGACTCGGATTACAGCGTAACAGGAAATGGATGGACCCTGACGTTCCAGAGTCACGTCGAAGCTTGTATGCAAACATATTGCATATTGATGCATATTATGCATATACTATGCAGTGAAGCTGTACTTTCACATGTTTCGAACCTGATTTGAAGCTGCAATCACAAAGGGTTAACGACTGGTGCAGGCTGTCACCAGCAGTTCCTTTTGACGAGTGATACGCTGACCAAGGCTGCAATGCAACAAGTCAACATCAGCAGCACGACAATTCCAGCAGGTGCATCCCATTTCTTGGTCTATTCCGGAAACGCCAATGGCGAGATGGCATCACCCCTTTCTGCGCCCATCCGTGACATGTATGCCTGGAACTTACGAAATCGATCGAAGTCCCGTGAAATACGCCATTCACATCCATTCGTCACATATTCACATTTTCAACAGGTGAAATCCTAACTTTTGAAACGTCCTTGGCGAATCAGGTCTTGCCCAGCCCATTGTCATTAAGCTTTACTGATAGCTCCAGCACCACACACTTTGTGTCTGGCTTGCTGCAGCTTGGGGAGCCATCTGATGTCAGCGACATCCTGCGTTCCTTGACTTGTGAGCTCAGTGAGCTATGAGAGGCCCTGGAGAGAAGCTCTGAGTTCATTTGGGTTGAACATTTCACAAAAGGTGATAGAATCATTGTTGGAACCAAGGCTACGACGTTTACTGGGGGAACCATGATGGCCGTTGGGGAGCTTGCTCCGCCACCATAGGCTACAGGTTCGAACCAGGACGGGGCTGCACAGGGCCATTGGGACAGAGAAAGCCTGCCATGTTGACAGACGTATTGCCATTGCTTGGACTGGCAGGGCCAAACCTGACAAGAGAATGTGTGCGCCCCAGGACCATTTGCAGAATTTATATTATTTACATCAGGTTGCTACAGTCTTGGAATAGTACATGCCAGACCCTGCAAGACCAAGAGCATATCAGTTTAATGTCTTTTAATGTCTTTTCATGTCTTTTCATGTCTTTTCCAGGTTCCGGCAATTGGGGGAGCAACTTTTTGTCGTTGCTTCCCATCGCGGCAGAATCAGTTGCAGGGCCAGAGCAGGTGGGTGGTTTCGGGCTTCGATTCGACGGCAGCTTGGTGAATATATGGTGGAATGGGGCCACTACCAGTTGTAAATTGATTGGGGATGTTGGGGTTGATGGGGTTTTAACTTAAGTTTTAACCCACTTTGAACTGGTAGGGGTCCCAAAGTATTGTTCCCATGTTGCTACTTTCTTGCAAGGTCCTTCCTCTCACATCTTGCTTGCTCTTCCTTTGTGGATCGAGGTTCGTTCTCAGCAGAGACGATCGGCTTCATGGTCTGTCTGCATCACGCCTGCTATGACGACACTGTGGCCTGGACTGGTCCGGGAGGTCTGTGCGATTTTTCCTAACACCCAACCAGTGAAGCCCCACATCATCACCTGATCTCAGGATATCTCAGGTCTCAGGTGGGTGAAGTGCTGAAGTATTGCTGAGTATTCAGGATGGTATTCGTAATCACAGCTCATTAGTGGCTTGTTGTGAACCATTGAAATGATTGCCCCAAACATTGGATGGCTTAGTACCTTCGGAGCGTCTTCCTGGCTTGTCATTTCTTTGTTTTTTTTAGGTTTTACTTTTTGGGTAAAACGGCGACTTTGCCCCGTCACAGTCTGACATTGAGTGACTTTTGAATTCTTCTCCCAAACCTCTGAAAGCAGATTTGTTAAATTGGTCACTTTTCCCAACCAAACGGCGATATTTCTCGACCTTGGTTCATGGATGTCCATGGTATGCATCTTTGTGAATAGGTTTTTCCGCATCAAACGAGCATCGATTCCTCTTTTTGGCTTGACAAAGGTCACCTGGTTTTGTATGGTCAGACCCAAAATACTATCTGACTATCAAAGCATATCATTCTGAGATTTGATAACCACAAGCAATGGGCATATCAGTACCATTCAGTATACGATGGGGATATGATTGATTCCCAGAATTGGTGGGAAACTTGCCCGGAACATACCAATCATATCCAATCATACCATAAATGTAGCTTTAAAAACACTGGTTACATCTGCTTACCCTGCACTTATGTACCCTGTATCATCTGATATCATCTGATATCATTTCCTATCATTTCCCCCAAAAAAAACCACAAGCCATTGCTTTATGGCTATGGAAAATATATGGAACCTGGGCCTAATCCGCAGGCAGACTGGAGCATTGCGGCCTGGATCAACCCGAGCGTGCAACCAGCGCAAAGCGGATCTTATCTCCTGTACAAAGGCTCCACTGACTATGGCCTTTTTGTTGCTTGGCTTAAATGGCCTTTAAATGGAGATGATTGGGGACCCTTTAAATGGTTGTTTAATTGCTGTTAAATGGGGATGATTGATATGATTGGGGATGGCTCAGTGATCAAAGTGATTAAACCTGCCATATTTTTTTTCATGTTTTGAAAAAAAAATGGAAACAGCAATAGGTGGTGATTATGAATGTTCATCCCCCCCAACATAGGGGTTTTTGATATTTGTTGATCGGTTTTGATACGTCTCCAAATGTCAGCTGAAAGGATCGGCATTCAAACCACAGGCACAAGACTGGTGATTTTTGGTACAGTAGTAGTAACTCAGACTCAGTAAATCCCAATAATGGCAAGTTGGACCATCCAAGTTTGATCAATACCCAATTGTCAGTTCATAGCTCAGATATCATCGAGTTACTGAGTTCCAGTTTTCTTGAGTGTGTTTGCAAGCCACCAGTCGAGAGTTTCTCATTTTCGGAGCGAGGTCGAGTTCTCACTGTTTCTGAACAGCGACTTCACGCTATCTTGTGGCTTCTTCGAGTCTGAGAGCCAGGGAGCCCCAGACGAAGCGCACAGTTGTGCAGCATGAACCAGCGATGTCAGTGAGCCAACCACCTGAGGTGTCTCTTGCACTTCAACGCAGGCATTGACTCGGAACACGTGGACACATGCGCTGTGTACCCGGGAAACTGCTGGCTCGGTGACAGAACTGAGGCGTGGTCCTGCGGTTGGAAAAAATGATGAAGCCATTGGCAATTGTATCCTATCAATCCTATCGTATTCCCATCACCTAATATCAAACAGCCTCAGTGTATGGTCAATAAGTGAAAAGACATCCCCTAACGGGGACAGAAACCCACTGGAAGGGATCAACACCCCACTGGAGTCGAGTCGTGTTTACGTCACCATGGCCTTGGCGCCTGGTGGTACTGTGGTCACAGGCTTTACTTGAATGGAGCACTATCGATGAGCTGCACAAGCCAACTAGCAACGACCTGGAGGTGTTCTCTTGACAGCGGGCCTGGTGTGGTTTGGTGTTCTCTTGGCCCAAAAAAAATCCGGGCTGAGTCTGCCAGGACCTACGGTAAATTGGTCATTGGCGGTGGACTGCCTGTTCGGAGCTTACTCTGACTTGCAAGGATCCAATCCAATCCAATTCGAGTGAACCAGCATGGACTGAGTCTGGACGTGGCTGTCGGACTGCTGCATGGGCTTTCCAATGTGTGTACCATGATCCTTGCAATTTGTAAAAAAGCTCACCAATGGTGTAGAGACCCAAACAAGAGAAAGTTACAATGGTTATAGCCGTATGGGTTCATGGAGAAATGCGGTATACCATGGTATACCCCAATTTATGATTTTTGTAAAGAAAAAGTGATGATAACCTTTGGATTTCATCCCAAGACTCCAGGGACAAGCAGATGATACTTTCTTTGATGGATTGCTGGACGAAGTTGCCATCTTCGAGTACAGCTTGACAGCAGCCGAAGTCAGTCTTCTGTATAACGGTGACCGAAACTTGGACGATGATGGATCCCCTGAACTGAATGATGACTATGACATACGTATAGTCACAGAGTATACTATAAGCATCTATACTGTAAGCAATATGGGCGTGCCTGAACATGTGGTATATACCCCACAATTATGGCAATTTTTAGAGTGAAAGTGATGATGAACCAGTTGATGAAGAGGACTTTCCCCCTGATTTTTTCTGGAGGTCTCAGCACTTGGCTTCCCGGAGAGACGACCAGCATGCAGTTGAATACAGCACCCCGACCTGGCGCAACAACTTTGGTGGCTGTTTCCGTTGAGACCTCAGTGATCAGATGGGTTTCAAATGGCAAGTTTTATGGGTAGGGAACATGGTGATTAATGACTGGATCTTGAGCTGATCTATTTTCTGACCCAGATCTAAAGAAACTTGCAGGATGTTGAGAGCGCTCAGTGCTGTACACTGAAAAACAACATCTGATTGCAAAGTATTGCAAAGTCAACCTGACCAAGGTTGGGGAATTTGTGGAAAGTGAGCCGCTGGTGATTCCTCTGGTGGATCTTCGGCTCAATTGTGCCTTTTGTGTTGTCAGTTGCCGTTGGATTTCTCCAAAGCTCCAGCTCCCAGGACCTTGCAACACCGGTGAATCTTCCACTGGCCGTGAGCTTCACCGATACAGATCCAACAGCTGGCAGCTATGGTGGGGTTGTGACCTGGGCTGCAAGGAGAGTTGGTCGTCACAAATCGTGCTTTGAGTGGAGCGAACCATAGCGAACCCCTTGATGTTGATCGGCTTTCTGTGTTTTTCTATGGATTTCCCCTGAATACAAGGGCTGGCAGCAGGTGATTCTGTACCCAATTTCTCCGGCATATCCCAAGGCTAGCTGGGGAAAAAAGATAGAGTCAACTGATGACTAAGACATACTAAAACCAGCGGATCTTTGATTTGGGTTTGTCTGAAAATAGGGTACCCCCCAAATTTGATGGTGAATCAATTTTGAATCAATGTTAATCAGAGTTTTTGCTACTAAATTGCCATTTGCAGTTTATGTGATTCCAGATGATTCCAGCATTTTCAGACACGCCTAGGTCCTGGTCACCCGAGCCAGCGACGAGTCAGACCTCTCAAGGTATGTAGCATACTGGGGTGCCTTGGGTGCCAAAACATCATGCTGAAACATTCAGGTGATGATAGGTGACCCCGTGACATGGGCATGGCAGTTGTGGGGAGCAGCAAACTAAGCAGCTAACTGCAGTTTGTCAAGCATGGATGAAGCGCAAATTGCCATATCTGGATTCAAACCAAAGGAACACGCTGCTGGAACTGTGTCCATTGCACCCAGTTAAGGTCGCCTGATGCTCCCAACACGACTCTCCTCCACATAAATTCCCATTCCACATCAAAAGACCAGCAGGAAGACACACACACACATATATATATATATATGATAATTGGACAGATATTTAACTTGTAAGGCATGAATTGCAATATTATATATATATATATATTATATTGTGTATTGTGAATTGACTGTTGGCTGCTGCGCCGCATGCTGCTGTGCACAGTTGACAGAGACCGTCCGAGCTATAATCTGATACAAAATAGCGTAATAAAAGTAAAAGGCACCACTATATAATATGCAAAACTTTGATACCTAAGAATCTAAGATGGGCCCCTCGTCGATTTGGCCTTAAGGTTCCAGCGCCACCACGAAACTGACGGATTCCCTCGAACTGGGGGATGTGGATGTGGCGAATGAATCAAGCTCTGAAGTCTCCATTCATCTGTCTCTCGGCCAAGATTTATGTCAAAATTCCCACAGGGATTTAGAATGCTGTAAGGTTTACAGATCTGTACTCCAATCTTTTTAATGAATCCAATTTACTATAAGGTTTTCTTTGGAGTATCAATCATACTATCAAACATAGCCAAGCAATGGTAGATCAACAGTGGTTTTACCCCTTGTTGAGAAACTGAGGCCCGCTGGATTGATTCCTCCAGGAGGAGCAAACCATATTCTTGTGGTGTCCTCCATTGACATTCCTCCTGCAACTGGTGAGACTTGACAGCTGAGAGAGTGCGTTTTCTCGACGTGATGATGTGGTCTTGTGACAATTCAGGGGAAGACCCCTAATTACCTAGGTGAATAATCATAGTCCCCCATTAAAACAACCAATATTGGGGTTTTCTCCGTTTTCAGACACATCCATATGTGATGTACAACTTCTGATTGATGACATTTCATGTGGCATTTGATGGCCTCTCAAGTGCCTCTAGTGCCAAGGAAAGCTCGCAGGGTGTGGGAGTTCTTCTAAGTGACTATGCACCTCCCAGTGTGCCTTCACCGCAACCGTGAGGGGTTGGCAATCATTTTTTTTTTCGGAACATTTTCCAACCATTCACCATTTTTGGAAGATTTCAGCACTTGAGTGATTTGAATGCATGGTTCCTCAAGATGTATCATATATCCCCAATCTTCCCCCGAAAAAAATGGGATGATCGGTGACAGGACCAGTCACCCGGTGGCCCCCAGAGGATGACTCCATTACCAAGGTCACGGCGCAGGCGGTCAGCTTTTCAGATACCAATCCAGTGATCGGGACGGTCTCCGGGAATGTCCTCGTCACAGGAGTCAACGTCTCAGGCTTTTTTCTTCTGACACAAGTGGGCTGACATGTCAGATTGAATGATGTTGGATGGGACCGCGGATGAGTTGATTGTTCATGTTTTTTCGTCATGAGTGACGGGTCATTTTAAGCACATCATTTACTCCACATACCATCAATTTTTTGGGGCCGGTGACCTGAACTATGCCCGGTACCCAGGCCAGCAATGAGAACGGGATTGCGAGGACCCCAGTTAGCGCTGTGGTGTTTTTAGATATTTTAGATGAGGTGATAAAATTGGAGAATCATCATGGAACAGATAGAATCATAGGTTTTCATGACTAACTACTTATTACTTTTATTTTTATCATCATTAATTGTTACTTTTATCATTAGTATTAAAACAATGATTTAGATATTGTCTCTGCACTTCAGGATTATAGCTCGGGATCATAGAGTAAATTCGGCACTTTGCCCTCCTTCCCGCCACCAAAGTGACGCGGGGCCCGATTTTCAGGTCTCCTACAATCTTTACTTTGCTGACAGCACAACACCCTTGGAACTCATCGTGAAATTGCCGGTGGCCTCCGGGACGCTTGCTGCTCGGAATGCTGGCGCAGATCCAAAGTTGCAGACCTTTTGGCTATTTTTGGCTCACTTTTCACTTCGAACAGTTTCTGATTTCGCAGTTGACTCAGACATACCCTCTGGTAAACTAACATAGCTATTGAAAATGGCAATTTATAGTGAGTTTTCCCATAAAAAATTGTGATTTTCCATAGTTATGTTAAATTACCAGAGGGTACTCAGACCTTTTGCTGCTTGAAATGCTCATCTGAGTCTCATACGTTGACCGACGTGACCATTCCTGCCAATGCGAACAGCATTCTTGTCCTGCTCGAGGGAACTGCAGGAGAGGCGGCAACTGGCGTGCGGTCCTCGAGCTGGTGCGGGTTCTTTAATTTTTTTCCCATAAATGGGGTATGATTACATGGGTATACCGTGGTATACCCGAAAACTATGGCAATTGTGAATGGGGAAAACCAACATTTGGATGGTCGAGTTTTTTTTTTCCGGGACGCTTCTCCAGAGCAGTTCGACCAAGGTGTCGTCTACGAGCCTTGATGCTCTTGATGCTCCAAGTGGCATTGAATTCCAAGATCTCGATCCACTTGCGGGCACCATACAAGGCCCTGCGATTTTTGGTGATATGATATCTGCTATCTTCATGTGGAAGATTCATTTTTTTTGAATTTCCATCCCCCTCAGGCCCTCAGCCCTTAAACACGGCCCGGAAAGCATGGTTTAGCAGGGGCCATTTAGAGGATGTTTGATGTCAACGGGGGATGGGATTAGTTCCATTTCGTTGTTTTCAGTTTAACTGATTCTTGGTCAGATGCAACAGCTTGAATTGACAAGAACTGAAGGCGTGGTTACGATACAACGAGCAGTCTTGGAGGCTGGGAGCTTGACAAGATGCAGACTGTGCAAAGCCGTGTGGGAAATCCCCCTAACCCAAGATTATAAAACATGAGAAAGGAGGTTCCTGGCTTTCGACCCCCGCAAGTGCAATGTCCACTCTTGGACTTTTCAGTGCTGAAGCCATCAAAAGTGCACACAGCAACAGTGGAAACAGGATGAAGCCGCAAGACAGCGTGACCCAGCAAGATTATCAAGATTATCAAGATTACTACGCAGAATTCATCAGAATTCTGATATAGAGTAAAAATACAAAGCTGAGCAGAAAGGAGAAAATACATAGAACCATTTTGCGCAAATTGCTGTGGAGCAGTTCCACCGCCGAGAAAGCGCGGCTGGAAAGTTGAAAGGAGACATCTAGAGCCCAGCGAAGCGCTTATTTTCTTGCTGGCGATTCCTCGTTGCTTTGCATGGCATCGAGTCGAATAATTTTCAGATACCCTCTGGTAATTTAACATAGCTATTAAAAATGGCCATTTATAGTGGATTTTCCCATTAAAAATGGTGATTTTCCATAGTTATGTTGGTTTACCAGAGGGTAATATCAGTGTGATAGCAGATCCATCTCTTGTGCTGTACTCTTTTCCAAATTAGCTGTCCAATCACCTGCTATTTGGGCTGAAACAAGAAAGTCACAGCTGTTGCCTTACCAAGCGCCACTTTGATGGCAGGTCAACGTCCAAAGCTATGAAGTCTACTGGGCACAGGGCAGCAGCCAGCTCCAGCTGCTACAATCTCTTCCATTGAGCTCCCTCCCAGTGACTCTGGTCATGGAAATGTACGATTCATTTGGAGATGGTTGGAATGGTGCCGACTACAACATCTATGGAGCAAGTGGAACGCTCCTTGCAAGCGGTACGCTCTCAGCAGGTTCTGAGGGTTCAGCAAGCATCACAGATGTCCCGGCGGCTGAAACGCTGAGCATCACAATTACAGAGGGCTCTTGGCCAAGCGAGGTCTCTTGGATTCTGAAATATGAGAGTGGTGGGATAGTCTTGAGCTCTGATGGCTCCCAAGGAACCTTCCCTGTTAACTTTGAATTCACAATCAGTGGTAGCACGGGTGGCACTGGCACCGGTAGTCGCCCCTTTGAAGTGGAGATTGCAGCTGGCACGACTGCACCTGCTGGTGCTGATACCTTGCTGGCCTTCTGCGCTTTTGAAGGTGGGGCGTCTTTGGCGGCCACCACACCTTTGGTGGACTGGTCACCACCTTCTGGGTATCCCACTTCGCTGGCCTTCTCAGACACAGATGGAGGGGTTGGAATCATTGCTGGGCAGATCACGGTTGGCCGGGCCACAGATGAGACTGGAATTTCGGAGTACAAGATCTATTTTGGTACAAGTTCTTCCAGCAAAGTGCCATCTGCCCAAGCCATCGCAAGCATCAGCACCTCAGTTGATCCCTTGGTTGCAACCTTGCCTGCCACCACAGTGCCCACGGGTGCCAGCTACCTCTTGGCATTCAGCTCTTCTTCGAGCGGCGAGAATCCTCAGATGGCTTTCCTAGAGATTAGTGATCTACAGCGACCAACCAGTCCTCCATCGAACGTCATCTTTACCGACATTGATCCAGTCGAAAATAGCTATGCAGGACTGGTTTCGTTCAGCCGCGCGCAGGATGAGGCAGCCATCACGGATTATCGCTGCTACTGGGGCTCCAGCTCGTCCGCTCCAGATTTCCGCTTCGCCGTTTTGGGAAGTGTAGCAGTTTCCGATGTTTCTGCCATCCAGATCAATAGCACTGAAGCACCTGCTGGGATGACTCACCTGGTGGTTGTCAGTGCCAATGGAGCTTATTCCATGTCTACAGGCAGTGGAGTCTTACCAGTGGACTACGCCACGGTCACGGTCATACCCTCCAGTTTTGAGTTTCTGGATACGGATGTTTTGCTTGGAAGCATCGGTGGAGTGGCGACAATTGGTGCGGCTTCAGATGAATCCTCAGTGGTGGACTATGCGGTCTACTGGGGTCTCACCTCCACCGTGAAGATGCCAGGTGGAAGTCCCGGTTTGAATGCTGAGTTCTTCACCATGACTTCATGTCCAGCCACTTCCTCCTTTGTGGATTTCTCCACCTTGGGCAGTCCCTACTTGACGCGACATGATAATGTGTCCCAGTACAGCTCATCCAGACCTGGCGGAAGTTTCTCCACATGGCCAGGCCTTAGTGGAAGTGAGCTCTTTGCGGCTCGATGGACTGGTTGGATTCAAGTCATTTCGGCAGCAAGCTACTGGATAGAAGTGGTGGCGGATGATCAAAGCAAGCTTTTTGTGGATGGTGTTGAAGCAACAGGAATGTTTTCTGAGTATTCTGTGCATCTCACCTCAGGTTTCCATGAGATAGAGCTTCAGTATTTCCAGTGTTTTGGCAGCTCATACCTATCTGCCCTTGTGTCTGGTCCTGATACTAACTACATGTACAAAAGCTTGTGGAGCTTTGCACGAACTGGTGTGAGAGAACAAGCTCCAGTGGCAACTGCGCCCAAGACGGGATCGACTGTGGCTGCAACAATCCCAGGAACTGCGATTCCTGTGGGGGCAACTTATCTCGTTGCCTTTGCCCGTGCAGCAGGTGGTCTCGACTCCGTTTTCTCCATCGGAACTGACTTGGTGGATCTTGTGAAGCCAAGTGTCACAGCGGGCACCTTGCACTTCAGTGATGCCGATCCCTCCTACAACATGATTCAAGGGGTCCTTACCATTGGTCGTGCGCAAGATGAAACAAATCTGAACTTCTACAAGGTCTACTGGGGATCCAGCGAAACCCAAATCGTCGACAGTACCACACGGCGTCTTCAGGCAAGCGGCCTAGGTCTGGTACCCTCGTGCAGTGGGGTTACTTGCCCACAGATTGCTATCGATGTTGGCACGAATGCCAATGAATGGATAGTGTCACGTGGGACATACGGAAACAATGAGCAAGCCTTCATCACTTTGACGGGTCCTGCGGAAGTTGAATTTACGATGCTTTCCACAGAGACCTGCTGTGACAAGCTCTTCTTCCCAAATCCCACATCACCCGTCAGCGGCTACACAACACCTTCTCTCATCAGCTTACGAGATGGGGTGCATTCCATTGAGTGGTACTCTGATTACAGCATTCAAGGCAATGGCTGGAGCTTTGTCTACAGATACTTAGGCTCTGCATCCAATTCGCCAGGACTCGTTGCCATGATCCCAAAGCCTTCGACTGCTCAAGCCCTTGCTGTCTTGATCGAGCAACAAGCGATGGCTGGAACGCACTTCATTGTCAAAACGGCCTACGACTCCACAGAGAGTGATAATTCGGTGGCGATTGAAGTTGTGGATTTGGCACCCCCCGTGGTGACTGTTGGTGAGGTAACTTTCGTTGACACCAACCATGCAGCTGGAGTCATCAGTGGTAGCGTTACCATTGCGGCCGGATCGTCAGAGATCACGGGCTACAACGTCTACTGGGGGAGGGACAGCAACAACACGATTGCCATGGGCAATCCTGGTCTTTTGGGCGAGTACTTCTATTTGTCCAATGCTCCTTTCAGTATGCCAACCTTCCCCTCTTCACCAGATGTGGTTCAGGTTGAAGTGCAATTGGATGTAGCAGAGACGACGACCACTTGGCCCGGCTTGACCAGCTCAGAGCTCTTTGCTGCCCGCTGGACAGGCTTTATTGATATCGCGACTTCAGGCACTTATTCCTTCACGTTTCCTGGGTTTGGCTAAGCTATATAGGTTTTATTTTCCCAATGAGGAAGAGGGCATCATAGATTTTTTTGTTTGCCTGGGAGTTTGGGAGGGGACTCAATTTGTCGCAAATTCAAGGCTTTCCTCAAACGATGGCAGCCAACTCTACGTCAACGATGCTCTGATTGTTGACAATGATGGCGTTCATGAAGTTCAGTCGGTGACGAGCGAGGGAGTCTATCTCTTACCAGGTCTTCAGAGTTTGCAGGTTTCCTGGGTTTGCACAGTGGGTGATTTTTCAATGGAAATCCACCACTTGGGGAATCGATGAATATTTCCCAATGCATATTTTCAAATTAAATGGGTCCATATAGATATGATATTTCCCAATGTATATAATATAATTTTATAGTGTGTATATATACAATAATATATATATATATAGATACAATACATACATGTAATTACATATAATATCATATATATATATATAAATATTCAATCTATAATATATATATATATATATTCAATCTATAATATATATATATATATATATATATTCAATCTATAATATATATATATATTCAATCTATAACATATATATATATATTCAATCTATAATATATACATATACAATCTATAATCAAAGGAAGTTGGGAAGCAATACTTCCGTGTTACGGACAAATAGAAAATGATGAAGGGTGGTGATCCCATAACAATACATTGCAGGGTGGTAGATCACATAACAATACATGACAATAACAATATATAACAAAAGAATAAGAAGCAGTGGAATTGACTTTGATGAAGGGTGGTGATAATGACGGGTGGTGACGAAGGGAAGTGGTGACGAAGGGAAGTGATGATGAAGGGGAGTGGTGACGAAGGGAAGTGGTGAAGAAGGGAAGTGATGATGAAGGGGAGTGGTGACGAAGGGAAGTGGTGAGGAAGGGAAGTGGTGAAGAAGGGAAGTGGTGACGAAGGGAAGTGGTGACGAAGGGAAGTGGTGTGAAAGTGGTGAAGGGAAGTGGTGACGAAGGGAAGTGGTGACGAAGGGAAGTGGTGAAGAAGGGAAGTGATGATGAAGGGGAGTGGTGACGAAGGGAAGTGGTGAGGAAGGGAAGTGGTGAAGAAGGGAAGTGATGATGAAGGGGAGTGGTGACGAAGGGAAGTGGTGAGGAAGGGAAGTGGTGAAGGGAAGTGATGATGAAGGGGAGTGGTGGTGACGAAGGGAAGTGGTGAAGAAGGGAAGTGGTGAGGAAGGGAAGTGGTGAAGAAGGGAAGTGATGATGAAGGGGAGTGGTGAGGAAGGGAAGTGGTTAAGAAGGAAAGTGGTGAGAAGGGAAGTGGTGACGAAGGGAAGTGGTGAAGAAGGGAAGTGATGATGAAGGGGAGTGGTGACGAAGGGAAGTGGTGAGGAAGGGAAGTGGTGACGAAGGGAAGCGGTGAAGAAGGGAAGTGATGATGAAGGGGAGTGGTGACGAAGGAAGTGGTGAGGAAGGGAAGTGGTGACGAAGGGAAGTGGAGAGGAAGGGAAGTGATGATGAAGGGGAGTGGTGAGGAAGGGGAGTGGTGACGAAGGGAAGTGATGATGAAGGGGAGTGGTGACGAAGGGAAGCGGTGACGAAGGGAAGTGATATGAAGGGGATGGTGACGAAGGGAAGTGGTGAGGAAGGGAAGTGGTGGAAGAAGGAAATGATGATGACGAAGGGAAGTGATGATGAAGGGGAGTGGTGACGAAGGGAAGCGGTGACGAAGGGAAGTGATGATGAAGGGAAGTGGTGAGGAAGGGAAGTGGTGACGAAGGGAAGTGATGATGAAGGGGAGTGGTGACGAAGGGAAGTGGTGAAGAAGGGAAGTGATGATGAAGGGGAGTGGTGACGAAGGGAAGTGGTGAGGAA